TGCTTAACATTAAAAAAATACCTAAATTTTTGCATAAACTTGTTGGCCTTCTTGTTTTGATGATGATTTACAAACAATTTACTTCTAATGTTATTTGTCTAGTATTTGTGTTTTTGTATTAATTGTAAACAAACAATATGTTAGAGGTTGGATGGAATTGCACATTCACGATCATATCCAATGGATGTTGACGGAATTGTGGTATGAAGCCTACGTAATTCAAGTTCAAGATCCAAGTTTAAGCTTCATCCGTAAGTGTATCAAGTCAATCTTATTGAAGATCAAGATTGTTTGGGTAACATTAGTTTAGGTTTATATTATGTGTGTTAGTACTTTAAGCTCAATCATATATACACACACATATTTGGTTTTTATATATATATAGTTATATATATACACAAGTTTTGGTTATGGACTTAACAATCATTGTATACATATTTCATTAAGTCTATAAAATCATTTCATAGGGTTTGAAAACATTGTTTATGTCAAAACATCAAATTTCATGTATATCACATTTTCATGTTTTGGACACACTTGCAAAATACATGAGTTTTCACAAATGGGAAACTCAATTTGAGAAATTCTTTTTCTAACATGTTTAATTTTATATTTATAAATGTTTTTCAAAATTTTATTAATTTTGGAATTAATTTGTTATGTTTATTTGAATTTACAAAATCAAGTTTTTAATAAGCTCATGTTCATGCACATGTTCGTGCATGTTTTTGCAAAAATAATACGTTTTCACAATTGGGAAATTAAATTTAAAAATTTTCTTTGTTTACATGTTTATACTCATATATATAAACATTTCCCCAAGTTTTACTAATGTTGGAGTTGTTTTGTTATTTTTAATTGAATTTACAAAACCGAGTTTTTAGCAGTTTTTTCAGAAACTATATCTGTGTTTAAACATTTATTTCTCTCAACTGGGAAGTGATATTTCAGAAATTCTTTCTCTAACATGTTTATCTATATGTCTAGAATATTCTCTCAAAATTTCATGATTTTTGGAGTTGATTTGCTATTTTTAATTAATTTTACAAAGTTAGATACATAAAATTCCAGAATTTGGTAAAAACAGAAACTGTCCGTGAACAGTGCGGTCAACCGCGCTACAGTATGGTCGACCGCTGTTACTGTAGCAGTCTACCGTTACACAGTAATGGTAACATCTATTTTTTTTTGTTTTTTAATGGGTTTTTAAGGTTTTTTTGAGTTGTTTTCTTCAAGCCTATATATACCCCTTTGTCATAACTATTTTAAACAACCATGAGAGTGTTTTAAACAAGTTTAAAAAAAATTAACAAGGTTTTACGGTTGGTTTAACTTTATTTAAAAAGTTTTTAAGTATTTGAGAATTTGATTTTGTGAAAACAATTTCACAAGAGCTTGAGGAGATCATCAATTGAAGTTTGGGCATTCAACTCATCTCTCTCTCACTCTTGATCTATAGAGAAGTTTTCCTAAACTCATTCTAGCTATTTATTGTTTTGATTCTAATTTCCATAAGCTAGATTTATTTGAGTTTAGTTTGTTTTATTATATCTCATTATTTACACATACACAACCATTGAGCTTATTGTATTTCATACATAATATAATTTGGGTTGTGGGGAGTGTAACTTAGAGATTGAGTCTACATTGTGTTCTCATCTATTATAGAGAACAAATTATTTGTATTTGTGAGTTTCATTATAAGGATACACTTTGTAATACACTTGTACACCGAAAGGAGTGGTTGGTGAGAGACGGGGTCGAATCCAAGAGGAGTGGCGTCGGTTGACGAACCTAGGGAGAGGTCGCATCCGAGCACTTGAGGAGGAGGACACGGACTAGGCCAACACTTAGAGGGTGTAGAGTATAATTACAAGTGTGTAGTTGTAAAGTTTTCGGTTAGCTAGAAAACCGAGTGTGAGGTGTAAACGTTGTTCGGGTAAGCGTAAAAAATCCGGTTGTGATAGTGGATTTTTCCTCGGGAGTGGGGAGCGGAGACGTAGGACGGAAGGTCCGAACTCCGTGATCATTTGCTTGTGTTTGAGTTTGCTTTATCGTTTTATTTGTGCTTAGTGTACATTACATTCTTGTCGCCATCGTAAATTGTCCTATCACATTTGTAGATTGTTTATTTCACCCTTGTGTTACATTACATTCTTGTCGCCATCGTAAATTGTCCTATCACATTTGTAGATTGTTTATTTCACCCTTGTGTTAGTTTATATATCCTTGCATATATTTCATAGTATATCTCATTGTTAGGATATATTCATTTGCTCATATTGCTTATTCTTGCTTATAACATATTGTATATCTATCTTGCAAGAAGAATAGTTTGAATTAGTTTTAATTGGCATAAAATCGAATTAGATTAGCATAAGATCCTAATCACCCTCCCTCTAGGGGCTAACAAAACTAACATGCAAGTTCTCTTATTATAGTTGCCATGCAATTGAATATTTAAAATACTAAAATTTTGCATCAACAATAAGCTATGGATTGCTAGGAGAAACTTACTTTTGGCAAAGCTTTAATTTCTTGCACTGATTACAAACTAACCCAATATGTCCCAAACTCCGTTTGTAGATAATAAATCTACTAAAAAGTCGGAGATAGTTGAAAACAAAAGTTACTTTTCCATAATGAATATTTAGCAAATTTGAAGAATATATCTAAGTGAAGGGAACCAAGGTATTCCAGAAAAAATCCGAGCCTACGAAAAATAGCCAAATAATAAGAAATAGTTAGGACAAATAAATATTGATAAATGCAAATCTTTCTCATAAAGAGTCAAATACAGTTGAAAGCAAAAGTAACTTTCTCATGTGAAGACAATGCGAAAGCAGAGCAAAATATAGAAATACCGTATCCGAAGGAATTTGCCATATACCTAAAACCTATAAAACTATTAACAACATAAATCTCATAGCAAATCTGTAAAACAAATCTGTAAATTTATATATTCAATTTTTTAATAAAATAAGTTTCTACAGAATCCGCTTTATCTAATTTGTATCAAACAACATAAATATGTACGCGCACATGAATAGTTTATGTAATGACTAATCAGAAGAATAATAAAGGTCGTAAAGTATCTAATTAACAAATAGTTACAGGAACCTTAGTGGTTAGTATTCAGGATAACTTAATTTCCATAATTGATTGTTATTGAGACATCCCCTTTCAGTTCCATCAAATTGCTTCACAGATTTCACCTTCTCAAAAAATATAGACAACAAGCACAATGTTTTATGTCTGACGACATACATCTTAGTTCTTAATGTTTCTATGATGGAAAGACCGGAACAAATCAATCAAAAAAAATCAAATTGGATTTCCCAAAGACAAAACAGAGCAAAATGTATTTAAGATGTTGCCTTACTTTCCTTTGTGAGTCTGTGAAGGTGTTGCTCGGATAGTGGGAGAGTTTCAATTGTACTTGACTGGGAGATTTTGGGTTATATTTGAGAGAGTTACGTTCAAGTTTTGAGAGGGGGTCTGGAATTTGAAAGAGGTTGAGGATGAGAGGTATCTAGTCCAAAAGGATGCTATGAGAATTTTCTTCCTATTCACTTTATTTGAGAAAATTTGAATTTGTAGAGGAATTCCAAGAGTCAGCTGAATTCTTAGGGAATTAGAAGCATTTATTGCTCCATTTATTATTATGTAAATAGGAATTCAAAAAGCTAGGATGTAAGTCTTTTTATTGGGAAAGATCTGTTGTTTTATTAGTTTAGTATTTAGTATTATTAATAGACATAGATAGATTGATATTTTTTATTTTTTATTTAAAAATGATTAAAAAAAAGAGGAAATTGCCAAGTGGCATTTTCAAGAGGAAGAGATTTTAGATATAGAATATAGATTTCAAATTTAATATGGCAGGAAGCGGTCAAACTTTTTTTTTTTTTTGAGAAATTTTAAAAAAATAGAAAATTGCCAAGTGGCGTGTGCAAGGGTAACAATTTTAATAGAAGATATAGATTTTTTATAAGTAATGATTATTATTACCAAATGACATAAAAAGCAATTAATATCAAAGTCTATCTACATCAATAGAGCCCTCAAGCAAACCAATAAATGTGACAAAGCCGAGATTCGAACCTACTGCCATACTTTTTTTATTATTTTTTTGACAAACTAATGAATATCTTATATATTTTGATATTTGTTAAAGGAAAAACACAATTAGTGTGCTTTCATCAAAGTAATTGATGAAGAGTAATTTAATTCTTCATGTATTTATGAAACCCTATATTTGACACCCTATATAAAGGGGATTCATGATGAAATAAAGTGTGACTAATTCTATTCTTCTTTTAATACGTTCTTAGCATGATCTACCATCTGCAGCGTTTGAGAAGTGCCCTAGGAAAGAATCGTGTCTTTCCTGCAAGGTACTTTCGATATCTTTTATTTTGGGTTATAATATTCTATGTAATTGATTTTCAGATTCATGAGTTTTCATGCAAATACTTGATCATAGTTTTGATTCGAAAGAATTAGGACAATTTTTTTTTGATATTTGCGTGCAAATTCATGAATGAAATTGTGATTGATGGATCTGATTTGCAAGGAGTAAATATTATGGCCACAAACCCACTTAAATTTGCGTAAGGTTTTCATTAGGTTTCATGAATATATGAATTTGTTAAAGGAATCTATTTTGAGGAGTTTGGTATTTAATCACAGAAAACAACAAAAGGGTCTATATGTATGTTTTCTATGATGTGAATTGGCATTAGCTATCACTATCTATTATTTAATGCTTCACGCATAAGACAAAATTACTAGATTTGGTTAAGGAAATTTGTGAACAATTAGTTGCTGCAATTCAAAAGTAAATTTGTTTCCCGCAAGTCACAAATCTTTGATCGTTTATGAATATTATTTTCTGTATACGACATCACATATAAAAGTTACAGCACATAAAGTTGACTTTGGGGACAGTATTAGATTAACTCAACATCGGTTTAACTTTGCGTTGTAATTTATAGCAGATGGCTGAACCAACTCGACCCGAATTTGAAATATTGGACTCAAAAGGACTTGAGTACCACTGTTGGATTTATGATGTGGAAACTACTTTCATGGGAAAGGACTACATTTCCACAATCATACCATTCGCTGACCCCAACGACGAAGAACCATCTGACAAAGTCAAAGAAAATGCTCTAATGTTTATGCGGTGGCATATTGACCGTAGCTTACGATAGGAGTACCTTCAGTTGAAGACACCCAAAGAACTGTGGGATGCTCTAAAGGGACGTTTTGGGAACATTCATGACACTTTGTTTCCAGAACTGACTGTCCAGTGGAATGAAATCTGCTTGCTTGACTACAAAAGGGTCAATGACTTTAACAAGGACATGTTGCGCTTAAAAGCATGTCTCACCTTCTGTGGAAAGGAAATCACAGAAGCTGATATGATACAAAAAACTCTCTCCACTTTTCCTACTTCAGCACTTATACTAGCAAACTAGTACATGCTAGAGTATGACAACAAATGAATTACGATATTCAATAAGTTGATCAACATGCTGCAAGTAGCTGAGAGGCAAGATCAAGTTCTTCTGAACAACAATACCAGACCTGCTAGGACAAAGAAAATTCCTGAAGCTAACTATGGTAAAATGAATAGTGGAAAGAACCCCAAAGCAAAGGGGATGGGACGTGCTGATCCCTCCCAACGTGGGAACAATGCACCACGAGGTAGGGGACATTGGGGCCGTGGGAGAGGCTGTGGTAGGGGCTATGGAGGCTCTTCCCATGTATGGTACAGAGATGGTGGTGGTGGACCTGGTGGTTATGACACCAAGGCACAAAAGACACCTAAGAACCCTCCGACTATAGGTGTGAAGATACTAGGTATTGGTACCAGACCTGCCAGGCAAGCAACAAAGTAGCAGCCAACTACAAGAGGTATAGAAAGTCTAAAGAACAAGAGACTCACTATACGGCAGATGGAGGTCACGACACTGATATCAACCTTACAATTGCAGACTTTAATAGCAACAAGGGCTTTTCTCAGTCAATGGATGTCTTCGATTTTGACTGATCTGCTGCTTTACTTTTCAAGAAAGTTGTGAGGGCATAATGCCTCATTCCAATTAGACTATTGTTTTTTGCCTTAAAAGTTTATTTCGAATAATATTTTTTAATTAGATTTATGCGGATGAGATCTTAATTTGATTATTGTTGGCTTATTAATAAAATTCAGATTTTATTCTAAAGCATTGCATGTATTTGAGTTTATTTACTATACATCAATGTACATGGTTCAAGAATATCACTAGTAAGATGTACAACAATACATCTAGCACATGAAGAAAAATATTAGAATGAAAAGTATGTCATTCTACTTAGATCGAAACACTCTAAAGAATATGAGGAATATTTTTTGACTTATCTAATAACACCATCCCATTACTTGTAGGAATGTCTCGAGGAGAAATTGAGTGCTTAGCTGATAGTGGGACTACCCACACAATTTTACGGAATAGACAGTTATTCATTGAACTAATTCATTATTCTTTATCTGTGACTATAATGATTGGATCATCATAATTAACAAAAGGGTGAGGAACTCCAAATTCTTAATGCCTAATGGCACACTGATTAAAGTCACAGAAGCTCTATATGCACCAAGAGCTAATCGAACCTTATTAAGTTTTAAAGATATTTGTGCCAACAATTATCATTTGGAAACTCACTATGAGAATGGGACTGAATACATATATATTACCTCTAATGAATGTGGAAGGAAACACATTTTAGGAAAACTAATGAGTCAATCTAGTGGATTGTACCTCACTACAATTCGGATTCTTGAATCCTATGCTGTCACCAACAATGATCTATGAGACACTAACTCATACAGGCTTTGGCATGACCGCCTTGGACATCCTGGTCGTGACATGATGATCCGTATTTTAAAAAACTCACATGGACATCTTTCTTTCGAGTGACACACAAAATGGGACAAAAATCTGATACACTGCACAGTGTCGGTCCTAGTGCTGCTCCATTATGGCCAGTGACTTCTGAAGCACCAAATGCATTATCTACGTCCCACCCTGCCTCATTAACTATCTCAAAGGCACATCACTCCTTTTGCAAAGCCTGTTCTTTAGCAAAAACAGGATCGAGACCTTCCTATGCTAAAGATACAAAGCAAAACATCCCATTTACAAAGGATACAAGGGGATATTTATAGACCTATCCATCCAGAATGCGGACCATTCAGGTATTTTATGGTTCTAGTAGATGCTTCGACATGCTGGTCATATGTTGCATTATTATCCACAAGAAATGCTACATTTGTAAAACTTCTAGCACAGATTATACGTTTAAGGGCTCACCACCCTGATCACCCTATCAAGTGTATAAGGCTTGATAATGCGGGAGAATTTACATCAAAAGCATTTGATGATTATTGCATATCTATCGGCATCGATGTAGAGCATCATGTACCCCATATGCATACACAAAATGGTCTCGCATAAGCCACCATCAAAAGGCCATAGATGGTGGCTAGGGCACTGGTTATGCGCACCAACATACCTATCTCTGCATGGGGTTATGCCATATTGAACACAACTTTACTTATTCATTTCAGACCCACAGCTGGACAACCATTTTTCGTGTACCAGTTGGTAACTGGATATGAGCCTGACATTTCACACTTACGCATATTTGGTTGTGCGGTGTATGTGCCTATTGCGCCCCCACAGCACACCAAAATGGGTCCTCAGAGATGATTGGGTATTTATGTTGGATATGAAACTCTAACAATTATCCGCTATTTGGAACCTTTCACAAACGATCTATTTCCCGCTAGATTTGCAGATTGTCACTTTGATGAGACAGTCTTCCCGTCGTTATAGGGGATAAGAAAAATGATTTTCTAGGAAAACAAAAGAAATTGTCGTGGTTTGTCCCTACACTGTCTCATTTTGATTGTCGCACTTCACAATATGAAAGCAAAGTAAAAAAGAATAATCTGTTAGACCCTAGAGGGGGAGGTGATTAGGGTCTTATGCTAATCTAATCCAATTATATGCCAATTAAAACTTAATAATAAATTATTCTTACAAGATAGATATACAATATGTTATGAGCAAGAATATACAATATGAACAATGAGATATATCCTATATGATAAAAATATATGCAATGATATATAAACTAACACAAGGGTGAAATAAACATAAACAAGATAGTGGATGAAATAAAATGAGCAATGCACAATTGGCGATATAAGATAAATGCAAAAGCAAATGCGCCAATGACAAACTCAAACACACTCAAATGATCACGAAGTTCGGACCTTCCGTCCTACGTCTCCGCTCCCCACTCCCGGGGAGAAATCCACTATCACAACCGGGTTTTCTACGCTCACCCGAATAACGTTTACACCTCACAATATCGGTTTTCAACGTTCACCGATCAACGTTCACAATCACTCACAATATCGGTTTTCAACGCTCACCGATCAACGTTCACTCCTCACACTCAAGCACAATTACAGCAATTGTTTATTCTCTAATATGGATGAGAACACAATAAAAGCTCACACTCAATTGTTACAACTCTTACCAACCCAAATATACTATGTATGAAAATACAATAAGCTCATGTGGGTGTGTGTAAGCAATGAGTAAAATAAAATAACGAATGATAATCAAATAACTAAGCAAATGTAAAGCTAGATAAGAGTTTAGAAAACTTCTCTATAAACACAAAGGAGAGGATGAAGAAGATTGAGGATGAATCCCTCAATTGACAACATAAGCTTCCTCCTTTGTAAACACAAACCCCAAACTTAAAACAAACTATAAAACCCTCTTAAACTTGTTTAAAACTATCTCATTGTATATAAAATGATAAATACAATGGGGTATATATAGGGTAGAAGAAAACAACCCCAAAAACCCTAAAAAACCACTAAAAGATAAAAATCAGCAAGTTACCGTTACTGTGCAACGGTAACTTCGGCGGTCGACCGTCACGGTCGACCGCGAGAAGAAAAACTCAAAAACTACTCTCTGGACTGTGTATGATCGACCGCCACGGTCGACCACACTGTAGCACGGTCGACCGTGGCGGCCGACCGTACTGTAGCAACGTGCACAAACAATTTCAGGTTTTGACATATTCTGAAAATTTGCGTATTTGATTTTATAAAATCAATTAAAAATATTAAATCAACTCCAAAAATCATGAAATTTTGAGGGAAGGTTCTAGACATATAGATTAACATGTTAGAGAAAGAATTTAGGAAAAAGCACTTCCCAGTTGATAGAAATAAATGTTTGAACACAGATAAATAGTTTCTAAAAAAATTGCTAAAAACTCGGTTTTGTAAATTCAATTGAAAATAACAAAACAACTCCAAAATTAGTAAAACTTATGAAAATATTTGTATATATGAAGATAAACATGTAAACAAAGAAATTTTTCAAATCTCATTTCCCAATTATGAAAACTCATCTGTTTTGTAAAAACATGCACGAACATGAACTTTAAACATGCACAAACAAAACTTGTTAAAACTTGGTTTTGAAAAATTCATTCCAAACAAATTTCAAAATACTTTCCAATAAGTTTATAGACTTGATAAAATATATATCATCGTGTTAATAAGTCTATAATCCAAAACAACGATAAATCAAAATAAATGTGTGTGTGTATGAAATTGAGCTTGAAGTATTGAACACACATAATATAACACCTAAACTAATTTACCAAAGCTGTGTGATCTTCAATGAAGCTCTTCTTGGTAAATATTACGGAAGAAGCTTGAACTTGGATCTTGACTTGAATGCATAAGCTTCACTCCACTATTCCGCCAACCTCCATTGAATATGATCGTTGAGGTTCTATTCCATCCATCCTCCAACATGTTGTTTGCCTAGAATAAATACGAAAACACAAACACTAGACAAACAATATTAGAAATAAATTATTTGTTAAAAATCATCAAAACAAGAAGGCTAACATAATCAATCTTCAAAACGTAGCAGATTCGATGCCTAATGCGTTTGCTGATATTGCTAAAGTGACAAGATCACATATACCAGCTGCAAAATGTGTCTGTAAGGTTAGAAGTCCCTAGTAAGGGGCACAACACCGTAGATAGAGGCACTGCAACCACACACGGTGGAGGTGTGGTTGAGGCAATGGCTCTCAAAAGGAAGAGGGGGAGGCCACTTGGTTCGATCGACACCCGACCAAGGAAAAAAGAGGGCGGATGCGGCACAACCTGATCCATTAATCATCAATGAAAAGAATCCCTCTCATGAGATTATCTCTGATTATAGTTATGTACATGAATCATTACTGGAGGATGCTCCGATGTTTGATATGATCACAAAGAACAAAGAAATCTCAATGAGTTATGAGAGTGCATATGAGTTGATGGAAAGATCTTCCACACACATTGATGATATATTTGCATATGTTGTTGCTTAAGATATCATAG